GTCACACATGCTAGTCAGACATCAAGTCAGAAACATTTAATTGGTAGATAATGTCACTTCCAGTCCATGCAGGTGGATTTATTTGGGGTTTTGTTCATTTCAGTCATCACTCTGTGCACCCCTGTATCAGATGCAACCACCTGAAACTAAGAAATCAATGAACTTCAACATTTCAAGTGAAAGACCTTTAGTATTATTTTTCAGGTAGTTGCATGATACATTCAAGCCTTTAAATAGTGTGGTGGCTTAAGCTGCTTTTCTCATTCCCTTTCTTCATTTTCTTACTCTTTTGTCTCTTAGTGAAAACTTTATTTTACAACATTTTAATTATATAATCTCTTTTTGGTCTAATTGCAGAATTATTTGATGGTGAGACAGTTCATAGTTCAACCTCTTTATTAAAGAATTATCAATTATTAGAAATAATTAATTTTGTTAGCAGTGATAAAGCTATCCAGACAAGTTATTATTGTGACTTTGTAGCTAGATGGGTATGATTTTGCTTTGGCTGTTCAGCATTTTGATCCATTGTGATATGGCTTGTGGTACCTGTGAATGATTTTACCTGAAAAATGAATGACAGAATATCAGAATGTAACATTACATTAAGATATATCCCTACACTGCAATTATATAATTATGTAGTAGATGCATGTTCAGTGTGAAGAATATGGTCTTTGACACTCTTTGTATATAATAAACATGCTATTGTGTAATGGAAATGATCAAATAAAGTTATTTCTGCAACAGCCCTTGCATTCAAACACCTTATTTGTATTTTTCTTGTTCATGCTTGAGCATCAGCCTCAGGATAAGCAAATTCCATTGGATTTGTGAGGGCACTTGAACTATATATTGGGTCATTACATGAATAATCAGACTCCCACAGCCTGTACTACAAGTTACAGCTGTGACAGTGTAGAGGGGGGATCCACAAGTAAAATGTGCTGGAATATCCAAGGGGGGGGGTGATACAAATAAAAAAATGATGTTTAATATGACTTAAAATTATTAAGCAATTGAGTGCACCAGCACTTTCCCTTGACAAGTAAAATTATCTGGTATTGGACTGAGTAAGATAATAAAGTAGGGCATAGTGTTCCTTAATTAATCACTTATAATAAAGGTTTAAATGCTGATTTTTTTTAAAGTGCCAGAGTGGCAACTGGCAGGGTACTGAAAAGGTAGGTTGTGCACATGCATCCTAAATAAATACTGCTACAAAAACCTGGTATTTAACAGTTAAAACCAATCACGGAAGTCGGGAAAAGGATTTTGAACCCAAGATATGAGACAAAATTTAATTTACAGTATGAGAATGAGTTTGAATATAAAGAACAACAAAAAAGAGGATACAAAACTACTGTGATATTGTTGAAATTAGCAATATTATACATTTGCTGTTTATAACGGTAGTTTTTGACATAATGTATTTACGCTTTTCCATCGAAATGGCAAGTTTCATAAATTTGCCCGAAGCAGCCCAAGCTTTGGCAAGCTAGAACTTAAAAAAGTAAAAGAAATAAAACTTTTGTGAATCTTACGTACCTGAAAACAAGAAATATAATAATCGTTTCGAGTGAATTGTTTCATCTACAAGCAGATTAAAAACTTAAAACTAACACACTTTTTTCTCGACTGCAAAAATATCAAAATGTTCAGTCGAAACTCGAAAATTATGATCAAAATTTTTGCAAAAACCAGGGGGGTGAAGGATTTTATTTCAAGCGTAGGATCGCGGTTGGTCAGTGGTAATTGCCATGAGCCGGAGGAACCAATTGGCGTCAGCAAACATGAAAATCCGCCATGTTTTTCCGGACACTCGTTTGACTGACGGATAGATAGGAGCACGTCCTCCAGTAATATTATAGCTCAGTGGTGCCACATGGAAGTATGTCACTAGGGTGACAGGAGACATTTGCTATCAATACAAAAAAAGAGATGCTTATAGATTTTGATATACAGTATACTGTCAATTTGTTACGGATTTGTGGCATTTGACTGTCACATTTGACAAATGGACAATGCTTGTTTATACCCAGTTCAAAATTTGAGATTACTTAATTACAAAAAGAGACTTCTATTTTATGCTTTCATTTACTAATTGAACAAAGATAACTAGAGTACAGGCATGTGAAATTTCAAAAGTTACAAACAAGCATTAGCCGAATGGTCAATTTTTTATATAATTATTTGCCTTCGACTTTGGCTAACAGTGTACAAAACGAACCCGTCAGTATGTCAAATTGCTATACCTCTTGGGGTTCTAAATAATACTTGTCACAAAACAAAAAAAGTGAAATGTCTGAATGCAGTATTTTAGAATGTATAGGTTTATTGAACGTTTTTGGACTTTTATATGTGCTAATACTAGTGATTTTGCATTTGTTGTCGATTTCATTTTTAATTGTTTCAGTTCACAGTTGAGATTTAATTGAGCTTGTAATTAGGTTTTGCACGCTGCACAAAACATACATCAGTATATACACACTTTATAATGAACACCTGCGAACCATCACAACTAATAGTTAGCTAATGTAGATTCTCATGCAGATATTTTTTGGGGGGTTTATTGGAGTGAAGTTTTTTCTAGAAAATCTTGCTAGTTTAAAACATTGTCATTCCAAGTGTGCTGTCTGGCAACCATGCAAGAAATATCTGTTTTATATGTATAGTAAACCGCTAATATTTATGGATAAAAACTTTTAACGTAAAATGAGATTCAATCATGAAGAGCGGTGTCTTTTTGTACTGTTGTGGGTTTTGCTCTTACGAGAGCTGCAATTAAACTACCAACTTTACATTTTCCCTTTATGTACCCAAGATAATGCTTGGTCCAGTAAATGTTCCGAAATTGAAAGGTAGAAATCAACTATATTGAACAAAATAAAAGTACGCCTGTGTTTTTCTTTTATGTTGCCAAAACCATTCAATTACTTGTTGCATGTTTCTCCATTGATTTACATTCAAAATTTCTCTCAGATTAGAATTGATGTTGTCAAGAATTACTTTACTTAGTTTTCCAGATTCGCTTTTAGCAGGATTAATTCGTCTGCATTTTAGGTTGTTTTTGAAATTTTCTTTATGGTCTTTAAGTGAAATAAATGCTTTGCGTTTTTTCATTTCGGTCATAGAATAAAGATCCATATAGAAGGGCCACTTACGTCAGAAGCTTTGAAGTTTCTGTCCTCCGCATGTCGCATACGTATGTTGGCCGCCATATTCCTAGCCAGTCAATGACATTTTCTGGCCAATAAACACGCTATACTGGCTGGCTGCTTCACCTTCTGGCCAGTAAACTGCACATTTTTGCATAAAAAGAACGAGGACATGTTGCACCGTTGAGCGGCCCTTCTGTGTCACTGATCTTTATTCTGTGATTCGGTTGCCAATATCCAGCTTGTGTTTATCGTAGGCCTAGCGCTATTCCCACAGACTTCAATTTTCTTTAGGCGACATCCGTATATTATTTCGTTTTGAAACTTGCAAATGTAAAGCAATCTATAGTATTTCAACATAAACAATCTGTGTGATCGGCCAATTTTGACATCTGTTGAAAGTGGGCATAGTCCGCAGGCTAAGTTTTCAGAAATGGCAAAACAGTATATCTTGAGCAGAGCTATGCAGGCTATTGCTTTATAAGTGATGACTACCTGAAGTGGTTCGTCCAGATCTCATGTAAACAAGGCCTACGATAACCTGCTGCCAAAACTTGTACTCTAGTTAATATGTCATTAGTATTTAAAGTTTGTTCGTTCACAGCAACCAGGTATATTAATCATGTTTTCACTTGGTACTCTGGTTTATATCTAAATGAATACAAAGCCCAGTCGAGTTGTAATCAAGACCCAACGTTTCGACACTCCAGTCTAATATCTTCATCAGGGGTGATCTAAAGTTGCAATGTGGCTTCTTAAATACTGAAGGTATGATGTCATCTGCCAATGAGATACATGTATTCCTCTGGCAAATAGGCACCATAGATATCCCATATACACTAGATAGTGCATCTAATTATACTGCAATTCAAAAATTGAAGCTATGATTGCAGTCTCAGGTCGTTCCCATGAAATGAGAAGATTCGTATGTTTTCTATTTCTTAAACAGGGAACTTAAACATTAAGTTAACCCTATTCCAAATACGTTTTTAAACTATTCAAATGATGGAAGTTATTTGTAGCAAGTTATTTGTAGCAACGGTCTCACTTATATTTTGCCGGATAAAATTACTCGCCAAGCCAGTGCTTGTCCGTTCTTGAACTGAATCGATCTTTAGACTTTAATCTTTATTCTTGCGAATAGCGGTTCTATATAAATTAATTTATAAATTGCTAGCTATACTAAATTACAAAATAAAATACAAATACAAACAAGTTATACCTTTATTGAAGGCTCCTTCCAAACTTTAAGTCTCTAACTGTTCCTTACTCGAGCACAAGCAAACGATAACTAAATTTATTACTAACTTAAGCATGCAAACTACCTTAAATACTAGCTATCTTATGCTAATTAATTCATTAATTTATTTTACCTAATCTATTTTAATTTCGTCTTTACATACCGGCCTCAAAGAGTTCAAAAACTCTTTCCTACTTAAAATTGCGAAATTATAATTGCAATCCATTTTTTTTGTTCTTTTGTTTTACTTAAAATGTTTATAATTATCATCCTTAATTTAATTAAAGTTAATTAACGTCCTAATTTGCGCCCTCTAGTAAACAAATTTTGCGAACATCTCATCGCTGTAGCAGTCCTTACTACTACTTGACGGATGTGTCCACGTTTATCAGGAAATACTAACTCAATCAAACCTTTGGGCCATTGACCATGTGAAACATTCTCTTGAACAATCAATACTAGATCACCAACTTGAACATTTCTCTTAGGGCGAAACCATTTTTGTCCACCTTTTCCAAAAAACATTTGCCAGGTATTGCGACTGTTTCCAACGTTTTCTATATGGAACAAGATTACCGAGATCTGTAGATGGCAGACTCGAATTAGGTCGTTTTCAACAATAACTGACTAGGAGTAAGAGGATCAAGGTCATTGGGATCATTTGTCACACCAGTCAATGGCCTGTCGTTTAAGATCTTCTCCACTTCAGTAATGACAGTTAAAAGGGTTTCATCATTGACCAACTGATTACCCAATATCGAGCATAGCATTTTCCGTATCAAGCGGATCATTCGCTCCCATACTCCTCCTGCATGACTCGCGGCTGGTGGGTTGAAATGCCACTCGATGGAATAGGTCCAAAATAATCGATCGATGTGCCGGCGTAATAATCGATCGATGTGCCGAGCCATAATTTGACTTTCTGGACATGAATTCCAATGCTGACAAGTAAGGCATTCTCCAACTACTCGTTTAACAGCTGCTGGACCTTGTAGAACCCAAAATTTCTGTCTAATCGTTGCCAAAACTTAGCTAATACCAACGTGTCCTTCCATGTGATGATAATGTTTAATAATTAGTGCTGTCACGTGGTATTTCCCAGGCAGAATCATAGGATGGCGTACATTGTGACAAACTGGAGCTTTGTCAATATGTCCCCCCAACTCGAATGATACCATCGACTAGTATAGGATCAAGTTTTCGTAAAGGACTGAGGTATCCAGATTCACGCAGCACTTTACTGAGACTGTATGACTTTCCTGCTTTAATAAGTTCACGTTCTTTCGTAAATACGTGCATTTGCACCAATCGAACAATTTCTTTCGTACTTGACTGAATCTCAGAGACTTTGAGGGGACCACAATCGAAATTATGTAACAATGTCTTAACCTGTGCTCTCAAATATGATTTATATCTAAGGAGCCAGGCAATGGTGAGTTGAAGATGACACCAATTTGAAAATCGAGAAATCAAATGAACCATTACGTCATTCCTACTAACAGTATGAACATGGTGTGATTGCTTTATTTCTTTGTCATCTCCAGCCAGCTCTATGAGATCTGTTGGTTGTTGTGGCCAGTAGCATTCATTCGTCCACAAAAACGAAGGACCATTTAACCAATGATCTAGATAGTCTGTATCTGTTGCCTTTATACCACGAGAGGCATGGTCAGCTGGGTTTAACTCTGATGGAACATATCTCCACTTCATTGGCAACGAAACTTCATGGATCAATGACAAGTGATTTGCCACAAACGTCTGAAATCTTCTGGCTTTGTTACGGATATACTGAATGACAATCGTAGAGTCTGTCCAAAATACCGTTTGATGAATAAGAATCTCCAATTCTTTCGAAAGCAACTTATGCAGATTTATAGCTACTGTTGCAGCCGTTAGTTCCATTCTAGGCATTGTAATGGTTTTCAAAGGTGCGACTCGCGACTTTCCCAAGAGAAGAGCGCAATAAATGTTCCCGGATATGTTTTCCAGTCTAAGATATGAAGCAGCTCCATAACCATCTTCTGATGCATCCGAGAAATGATGTAACTGAGCAGAACGAAGGTTTCCAAAGTTCTCAGGCTTTAAACAACGCAACACCGTGAGATTCTCGATATTCGATAGGTAGTTAAGCCACTGCTTCCAAATAGGGAAATTCTCTTGTGGAATTAAGTCGTCCCATCCAAGTTGAAGCTTGCATAACTCCTGTAAAAATTTCTTGGCCGGCAGAAGCAAAGGAGCCACAATCCCAAGAGGATCATAGATCGAGGATACAAACGACAAAACTTTTCTTCTTGTATCCAATGAACCTTGACTAGTGACTTTAAACCCAAACTTGGCTCTCTCAACATCCCATCGTACTCCCAAAGCACGATCTACAGGTAGCTTATCCAAATCTCAGTCCACAACAGTTGAAGCTCTTTCTTTTTCTGGGATAACACTCATTATTATATATAGGACTCAAACAATTAAATTAGCATTCCATTGTACAGGAGATTAGTTGGACAATTAGCATATAGCAATTACTTAATATATTCATATTTTGAATATATAAAAGAAACGGTTGAAAATATTCAGCATAGTCAACATCAAACAGTCAAAACGAAACAAATTTAATTCTACCTGAATGATCAAGATCTACAATTCTACTCGAATATTACAATCGATCGCCCAGTTGGGGAATTATCTGTAAGTTTGTTTATTTATTTTACTAAATTATTGTAGACTAGGTAGTTTATTTGTTTTTGTATTTACTTATAGTTGAACCGTATTAAATCGTATTATTTACGCGTTCGTATGTCTTGATTCGGCGATCGAGGAGTAACATAGTTCAAAGATATCTCGACTCAAGAATCTACTCGAAAGAATTGAACGCTAGTAGGCTACTCGAATGTCAGTTATCTATTATGTCTGTGTCGCAATCAACAAATCAAAGCGAAACCGGTCAAGACGAGCATGAAGACCAGGATGCCAGCGCTCGGTCACGAAACCCAAACCTGACTCTTGATCACGAAGGAATTCGATACGAAAGGTCTCAGCAATTAAGAAGAAATCGCTCAGCTGCTAAAGGAGTTGTTACTAAAAAGATTAAAGAATTGACCGAACTGACAACAAGTGTACTAGACGCCAGCGAAGCTCGAATAAGGGCTCAAGAATTCAAGGACGTAGCAGTGAAATTTTACCTCGCTCACGCCGATTATCATGTAACGATCATGGACGAGTATGATTTACAAGACTCCGAAGAATATTTTCATAACGAAACTCAAAGAATCGAAGCTTTTAAGCGAACACTAGCGGACTGGATTCATAGTTTGTCAAACCCAAACCCGTCGCCATTGGAGTATGAAATCAATTCAAACGACTCAATAAGCAATGCTGGCTCCAAAACTCGGTCACGTCGGAGTGCCAAAGGCTCGGTATCAAGTTCTCGACGATCCCGGGTTAGCTCGTCGGCGCAAAGTGCAATGGCGGCAGCAGCAGCAAAAAAGGCTATGTTAACAGTACGAGCGGCCGCGTTAGATAAATACAAAGCTCTCGAAGAAGAAGAACTTCGCATACAGCACGAAATAGCAGCGCTAAATCAACGACAAGAGGAACAAAGACTGCGTTGAGACAGAAATCGCGAAAGCCGACGCAGAAGAAAAAGCGTATGCTGGAACTTTACTTCGGGACGAGCCACAACCAACGACGTTCGATGGTCTTACAATAGACACTGGAGTGCAGGGAGACCAAAAATCAACTCAAGTCAAATCGTCTATTCATAGTGCGAAGCTAAGAGGAGAAACCAAAAAAGATGATGCTTCTGACGACTCAGAGACGGCAGAAAACTTCCTGCGAGAGATGGTAAATGTACAACAGCTCCAGCTGAATCAAAATCAACAGATGTTTGAATCACAGCAATATCGGGATCAATACATGCAACAACTATTGAATCAACAATATCGACTGGCTACATCCATGACATTACCGAATGTTGAAGTTCCGACCTTTAGCGGTGACCCAATAGAATATTGCCACTTTATACGATCGTTCGAGACACTTGTTGAAGACAAGACGATGAACAGTGGCGCAAGGCTTCATTACCTGATTCAATATACGTCTGGAGATGTCCAGGAATTGATGCGAAGCTGTTTAACGATGAAATCAGAAGACGGCTACCGAAAGGCAAGATCGCTCCTTAAACAGAGATACGGGCAAAATTACAGAATAGCAACTGCTTACATAGATCGAATTGTGAACTCACCACCTATCAAAGACGAAGATGGAACAGCACTTCATAAGTTTTCTATTCTGATTACAAGTTGCAAGAACACCTTAGAAGATACTGGATACAAGCACAAACTTGAGAATCCAGACAATTTGCAAAGGGTTGTGAATAGGCTACCGTTTTCCCTTAGAAGATCGTGGCATGACGCCGACGACGACATAACAAGCAACCAGTCGAGGGACATTACGTTTGAAGATCTTGCTAAGTTCGTAGAGAAGAAGGCTAGAGCCCTGACGCACCCAGTGTTTGGCAAAATAATCAACGACCAGAATCCCAAGTTCAAGTTACCCAGGAACAAACTTTCCTTCGGGGTGGACGGCGAAGCAAATTCAAAGAAGACGGAGACGTCCACTGGAAGCGCACATGTGTTTAATATAGAAGCGAAGAAGTACAAATGTCCAAGGTGTAACG